AACAAACAACACTTGAGGCAGTGTAAAGTAGTAGGAGTAGAAAAAGAAAGAGGAAGAAGAGGAGAAGAAGGAGAAGAAAAGAAGAAGAAGCTGTTCTGTTATGGTTAGAAGTCTCAACTTTGCATCCTAGGCAACTATTATGAGACATTCCTCAGATTTTTATAACAACAAGATTTTGTATATCTGTCTAGCTAGCACATGGTTCTGACTGAATGTATCAAAATGAACCTATATCTCTTGATAAGTTATGTTGCTCTTTGGTACCTTCTTACCAACACATTAAGGAGGTACTTCATATCCTATTTGGAGAGGTTAAGATGTGTGAAGTATTTATTGACTCTACCTTATATCCAAATACAGTCCTCTATTAAACCTTCCTGTCTTTATCCTCAAACCATAATGAAACTAAGTTGTTCTTCCCACAGTCAGGCTTATCACTCTGACTTAAGCCACACTCAGTCTCCAATTGTTTTTAGTATTTATTTTGCTGTATTATAATGTAATCACATGGGTGGATGTAATTATCATAAAGAAGCAATGAAAATTTAAAGGTTAAAGATATGCTAATTACCCTAATTTGATCATTTCCTAAAGTAAATACAATTCCATACTGATTGTGTATCATAAATATGCAAAATTATAATATGGTGATAAAATATAAAAATAAACTTGAAAAAGAAATCTGATTGTGGTGAGGCACATGTACAATTGTAAGGAAACTAGTCCAGAAAAGTCCTATTAGGAGGAAATACTATGGTGCTGAAGCATCCATAACATTTGGGCAGAGAAAGGTCAAAAGAACAGGTGTGTAGTAAACAATCAATTCAGAGATTTAATAAGAATTTAATCCAATATTGGGCCTTTTAGATTAAAGACTTCAACATTTACTCCAATTGAGAAGGGAGTTATTGGAAGGTTTTGGACAGAGTCATGGTATGCCTTTATCAATCTGCATTTTCTGTTCTTTTCTTTTCTTTTTCTATCTTTAGCTATTTTGATGTATGCAATATTTATTATCACCTTGGTATTGACCACCATATTTCATGATAATTATTTTCAGACATGGACTCATGTGTGTGTGTGTGTGTGTGTGTGTGTGTGTGTGTATTTTTTTTTTCTAATTATGTTTTCACATCACACACATAATACCCTGGGGAAAAACACAAAACAAACCAACCCCTGTTAATGTGTATCTCCAATCATCTCCTTTCCAGAAAATAAGTTTTACATGAAAATAAATTTTCACAACTGTTACCTACTACCAAGAACTGAGCTTACAAAATACATACTTAGTATAAAATACTTATCAATAAAGTAATCCTTGTGATGTTGATAACATAAATATAAAACACTCAGGTTTAATGCTCATTTATAGTATAAGGAGGGATCCTGGAATAGAAACAAGAAAACTGAGGGAGTGGGGCACAAGGGTCTTTTGTGAGACTGCATCTCCAACTAAGGACCATATATGGATATAACCTAGAACCTCTGCTCAGATGTAGCCCATGGTAGCTCAGTATCCAAGTGGGTACCCTAGTAAGGAAAACATGGACTATTTCTGATAGGAACTCAATGGCTGGCTCTTTGACCATCCCCCATCAACAGAGGAAGGAGCAGTCTTGCTAGGCCACAGAGGAGGACTTTGCAGCCAGCCAGTCCTGATGAATCCTGATAAGCTAGGGTCAGATGAAAGGGGAGGAGGTCCTCCCTTATCAGTGGACTTGGAAAGGGGTATGGAGGGAGGGTGGGAATGGGAGGGAATGAGGGAGCAGGATACAGTTGGAATACAAAGTTAACAAACTGTAACTAATATTTTTAAAAAAATTAATTAAAAAAGAAACCTGAGGAAATGAAGTGTCATCATAAAGTCACTAGACAGATGGCAGTCCTCGATTCTCATCCTTACAGGCTTCATAGTACTTTGTAAATATCATATCTAATATTATCTTACTCACAAACCCATATCTATTCCTAGAAATTAAAGAGAAATAATTAAATCTAGAGGGGTTCAAATCTCTGGCTTTATATGTTACCATAAATTCCATATGAAATATGACCAGGAAAATAAAATGTTTCTCTACAAAAATATTTCTCTACAATATGCTCTAACTTGAGATTCTGGAGTAAAAACTTGTTTTCTTTTGTGTTTGTTTCTCTCTTGGAACTAAAATCTATCAATGTATGTTATTCAAATAAAGTTCTTCCAGGTAACTTTTACATAACATTCAACAATTTCAACTGAATTGAAGATTTTATTGCTTTAAATTGGCTTCAAAATATGGAAAAATTTTGCATATATTTATTGGTGTGATTGGTAGTTTCAGTGTAGGCAATTCATTGGTTTTTAGTGATAAAGTAGTTTATAATCTGAATTGTGAGAAATGATGCACTAGGAATGCTTTACATAACCAGTTTTTCAAAGATGTGACATATTTTCTCCACTAGCTCAAGTATCTATTTTATCAAATATATCTATTTTAAAAGTAAAGTTATTGTTAAGGCAAATGAACTCATGCCACAGATAAAAATTTAATGTGTTTAAAAATTCACTAATATGTGCTGAGTATGTGCTTAGAAGAGCACATGCCTAGCATGCACAAGAATTTGAATTCCATTCTCAGTGCTGAAAACAAAAGCAATTAATAAATTAGTAATGTCTTTAAAATAGGGAAGCATGTGATGTATATTAATTCCATGGATTTCCCCCCACCCCCTGCAAAAAACAAAACAAAACAAAACACGCCATAGTTTATGTAGTGAATGGGTTAGAAAGTAGAATGGCTATAAATAAATCAATTTATCTGAATGCTATGATAATTTTAATAATTTAAACAGGACATAATAGTAGAGGTAGAGAGACAAAGAGACTAGGTTGAAGGCTATTCAGATAGCAAATAGCTTTCCTAAAGCTTAATAATGATGTTTACAGAACAAAGAATCAAGGAAGACTCTTAGATTCCCCAAATTAACAACTGAATGAGGTGCAGTTTTCTTTGGTTAGGAGTCATAGGAAAAGAAATTGGTTCCATTTGAAGAAAAAGTTGGCAAAGGGCAAAGATGAATTCAGTTTTGGATCTATTCAATTTCAAGTTCCTGTGGGAAATTAAAATTGAAAGGAAACAGTAGGTTATACAGGTCTAAAATTGAAAGGGGTTTCTTTAGATGAAAATATTGATAGGTAGTCATCATCAGACTGAAAATGCATGAAACACATTCCAGAGAGTATAAGTAGTAGATACAAAAGCAAGAAAGATATTTAAAGCACATGACAAAAATAACCTGATTGTGCATGAGCTGAGAATATAAGCTGATATTTAAAAAAATTAGTTTGCTTTGCTCATTGGAGAAGTAATTTATTTATTCTGAAGTTGATAGTTTTTAAAGAATGAAGCCAAGAAATATGAACCAAAAGCCATTTCCCTGAATAATCCAAGACTTTAATGATGTGAGGAAAGATCTGAAACAGCTAGGACATCATGGATCATGAAATTATGGAAAGAAGGGTCTCTAAAATATTGCAGTGTAAATGGAGTAGACCAGCCCCCCAGAGCTCTAATTTTGTACCACGAACAAGCTTTCCTCTTAGCTCATTCACTTATATTCCATAAACTCACTACATTAACACTTGCTCTTAATGGCCTTTCCTAAAGAAACTTCTGTTTGAGAATCTTCACTGAGAAACTCAATGATTTCTGCTGAGATCTAATGTTTGACTTTGTAAAATCAATTGGTTTTTATCTGAATACTTCTTCCAAGCCTATTATGTCCGGCTTAACAGAACAGTTAACACATCTGCACTTGCAGAAAACTGACTCTAGACATTGTACTGAGAGGAAAGAGGAACTAGGCCATTGTTTTCCCCAAATATCAGCTCCCTATTAAAACTTGTTCATTCTTCATTATGATACTTTTGAATGTAACTTTTCAACTTCAGATTCCATCTTCTTTCTGGAATTCATGCTTTGTTTCTATGATCACCAGTTTAAATAAAGCTCCAAATAAATTTTCACTTTCCATCCCCAATTCACGTTTGCATATAAATAGCTCATTACTCCTAAGACTTTTGCCTCTTAGTTTAAAATCTGTTTTTTTTTCTCCTCCATGCTAATATTATTCTCCAAACTAAAATTTCTTAAATGACTTTTCCAGTAATTCTTGTTATCTTCTGGGATTTACCTTTCTCTGTAGTCCTGCTCCTCATTATACAGGAACTATTATTTTGCCTCTGTTTTCTGTCACAATTAAAAATAAAACCCCAACAATAATTAATCTATATCATCACACTCAAGGTAAATCTTCATGCAGAAAGAATCATGATTCTGCAAATATTTACCATATTGTATGATATGTTTTAGGATGAGCAGTTGTGTCAACAAGAAGACAGTCTCAACCTTCATGGACTTGGGAGTAAATTGTAAGACAAATACAAATTATTAGTTACAGGTTTTATGTTTCATTAATAATTGGCATAGGTATTAATGTAAGAAAAGCACACTGGAGTGAAAAGAATTTACTAGAAAATGGACTTCCTGCGAGGAGGTGTTGTTCTCAGAGCTGTTAATTTTTGTTGTGGGTTTGAATATCAAATCTTGATTGGTAGCTGCTAAAATCCAGTCATTGGGAGCTGATAAGATGACAGAGCCTCTTATCAATAGATCAACTGCTCATGGATTCAAAATTTGTTGGTATTATTGAAGAAGGTAAAAACATTCAAAACTGAGGCCTAAGTAGGAAAAGTAGCTTACTGGACACGTGACCTTAAGAGTTTATTTTGTTACTTGCTCCTTCCACTGTTCTCTCTCACTTCCTGTGTGACTAGAATTTTGTGTTTGATTAGCTGTTTAGCTCCATCATTGTGTTTGTAAATGGGGCATATCATTTCACTTTCCCAAATTCTAGGCGCCTCCTCATTAGAACAGAACAGAAAGCCAAACTCTTGAATTGTATTGGCATTAGTAATTAACAGGATGGTGTGGTTTTAGAAATAAAGTAGTTCTTACCTTTTATGAATGTTTCCCCAAGAAGCATTGATATTCTCTGTTATCATGTGTACTTTTCTGGTATCATCTGCAGAATAGTCCCGAAGAAGTTTCAGTGCCAAATCATTTGTCACATCTATATTTATTTGCCATTCACGGAGATCTTTGGCCAACTGCTATAGGTACATATAGAAAGAAAATTATGTCACTATTTGTCCTCACATCTCTAAAAGGGGAATCTATAAATACCTCATAAATAGCTACTGACTCTTCAGGTCATAGTATGTCTATAAATTTGTTTCTAATCTAGCACATGTGTCTGTCAACTCTAATGATGTAAGTTAACATGCTTTCCATGAAAAAGTTTCAAATACAGGATTTTGAACATTAACTCCTTGCATGTGCTCCAATTTAGTACCAGTAAACTGGGAAAAAATAAGTTTTGTTTTTTTTTTTAGCTATAAAAGAAACTCATTTATAATTGCTTCACATGAGACATAACAAAATGTAAACACAAAAACATGCATTTCCTCACTCTTCATTAACTTGTTGAATTGCTTATGTAATTGGCATTTAACAAACTTTGAATACAGAAAATGCTGAACAAAAAAGAGTGCTGTTACTCCACAATTTCTGAAAGATTGCAATACTTTAATATTCAAATAAAAGACAAGAAATTAAACTTTTTCTAAACTAAATAATTTATGTGTTTCTCTTTGTTTTTGACAGTTGAGAGTCATTGAACTGACCATTTCATCACTGGAAGGAAGTCAATCAAGGAAGCATATCATGTCAGCACTTCCACACACAGGTGGCATGACAGATTAAGATAGCACTAAAGTATTAAGACTTATATTTAATAGAATGTGTTTGGTTGAGCTATAAATGCATGAATAGAGAAATATAAACAAACAACTTAACATAGTGACTGAATAAAGTCTTTTTTTATTTTTATTAATTACAGTTTATTCACTTTGTATCACCCCTGTAGCTCCCTCCCTCCTAGCCCATGGCAGTTCAGTGTCCAATGGGTTCCATAGTAATGGGAACAGGGACTGCTTCTGACATGAACTGATTGGACTGCTCTTTGATCACCTCCTCCTGAGGGGGGAACAGCCTTACCAGGCCAGAGAGGATGAAAATACAGCCACTTCTGATGAGAATAAAGTCTTTTTTATGGAAAAGAAAAACTTAATTTATAGGTAATATAAATGTATAAATCAAGATGGTGCAATTTTATGCTAGTAAACAAAAATTAATAACAGGGAGAACTAATAAAATTCTTACATTCTAATTCTAGAAACATAATATCATGAAATTATGGCAATAAATACCAAGTGACCCCTATAATCATATTTCTTATACTTTATCCTAATAAAATAGTCAAAAAGATAAATGTATTGTAAGATTATTTTTTTTTACCAAAAGAGTAGTTTTCATACTTATTTAGGGGATTGTGGTGGTTTGAATAGGTTCAGCCCCCCATAATCATGTGTTTGAATGCCAATAAGGAGCAGCACTATTAGGAGGCATGGCCTTGTTGGAGTAATTGTGTTACTGGGGAGGTAGGCTTTGAGGTTATATATGCTCAAGCTCCATTCAGTGTGACAGTCTACTTCTGCTGCCCTTGGATCAATATGCAGAACTCTCAGCTTCTTCTCCAGTATCATGTCTGCCTGTAAACTGCCATGCTTTCTGCCATGATGATAATGGACTAAACCTCTGAAACTGTAAGCCAGCCCCAATTAAGTGTTAATAAGAGTTGCCTTGGTCAGGGTGTCTCTTCACAGCAATAAAACCCAAATTAAGAAAAGGCTATCAGGAAATAATCACTAAATGTGCACAAAAATCATGGTAAAGAGACCATGATTGGGCCGAGGCAATAACTCACTGTTAGAGTCCTTGCATAAGGCCCAGGTTCAATCCTCACTACCTAAACAAACAGCAAAAATTAACCGTGATTTTCTTATGGCGAAACAAAACACCATTTTTCCATGAAAAAATTAAAAATCAGTATGAAGAGAAGAAAGGGCTATTATAGAAATTTAGGAAAGAAATAAATATTTTTATATAACATTTTTTTTCTGAAAGGATTAAACATTTTTATTTTAGAGTTTATGTTTGCTGTTAGTATGATGATTACATGAACAAAATGAAATCTTGATAATTTTGGTATAACTAAATTAATTTAATTGTACTTCCATCCCTCACAAAGTTTGTGTTTTTTATATAATTCAGCATTTCTTACTTAATTAGAATGTTGTATTTTAGAATCAAATAAATAGTGATATTTATTGTATATAGCAAATAGTTTCAGATTATCAAGCTATTATTAAAATACAAAAGTGCTGTGAAAGCAGTTGAGAGAGAAAAAGAGTGAGGCAAGGGGAAAAAAGAAGAAGAGAAAGGGTTTTTTTTTGGCACAGCACATGGTTTTTGGTACCACAAACAACTGTAATCTGTTCTTGTAAAATGTCAGCCTTTCTTCAATACTTCTTTCATTAAGAACTGATAAACTAGATTGTTTCCAGGTTCTGGCTATTACGAATAAAGCTGCTACAAACATGGTTGAGCACATGTCCTTGTTGTGTAATTGAGTACATTTTGGATATATGCCTAGGAGTGATATAGCTGGATCTTGAGGAAACACTATTTCTTATTGTCTGAGAAAGCACCAGATTGATTTCCAAAGTGGTTGATCAAGTTTAATTCTTACCAGAAAAGGAGTAGGGTTCCACTTTCTCCACATCCTTTCCAGTATGTATTGTCACTCGAGATTTTGATCCTAGCCATTCTGATGAGTGTAAAGTGAAGAGCAACAGAACCAAAAAATATGGGCACAGGGGTCTTTATTGAGAGTGATACTCCAACCAAGGACTATGCATGGAGATAATCTAGAACCCCTGCTCAGATGTAGCCCATGGCAGCTCATAGTCCAAGTGGGGCCCTAGTAAGGGGAACAGTGCCTGCCTCTGACATGAACTCAGTGTCTGGCTCTTTGATCACCTCCCCCTGAGGGGAGAGCAGCCTTGACAGGACACAGGAGGGCAATGCAGCCAGTCCTGATGAGACCTGATAGCCTAGGTTCAGATGGAAGAGGAGTAGGACCTACCCTATCAGTGGACTTGGAGAAGGGAATGGAAGGAGATGAGTGAAGGAGGGTGTGATTGGGAGGAAGGGAGGGAGGGAGCTACAGCTGGGATACAAAGTGAATAAACTGCAATTAATATAAAAAAGTAAATTGTGAAACAACCATAAAAATGCTTCCATTTTTGAGAAAATTCCTAAGATACAGGATTTTCTTTCCATTTCTTATTTTTAAGCTAAACATAAACTGACAAAGTATATGTATAATAAGATGTGCAGAAGATGTTATTTGCATTTTAAAAGAAAAATATATTCTCTATCAATTAATTTCTGTCATTATTCACAAAGTCATTTACCAAACTCAGATAAACTTGTTTTTATTTCTGAAGTTAATAAAAAAAAACTGATCGAAATATTAAACACAGGTTTTTGATGACCTAACATCAGGGCATTTATATGTAGGCTTAGGAACACATAACCTAAAGATTTTAATAAGTACATGATTAAAATCACTTATTTTCCTAACCAAATTGCATAATCTTAGAGCTATCTCTTTTCTGTGGTATGCTGTTGGAAAATACATGGTTATAAATAACCTGTTTAGAAAATATGAATGGCTGAGAAACACCTAAAGAAATGTTCAATATTCTTATCCATCAGGGAAAGCAAGACCAAGAAAGAATATATAAACATGTGATATAATCTTCCCTTAATCTGTAGTTGCAATGAAATTTAAGCCCATTTAAGGAAATCTTGACTAATGGTCACAGAATACTTTCCTAGATTCATGAAGTTGAGAGGCTAAAATGAAAAACAACACAATGACTTTGGCTCCCACTGAGAGCAATAAGGCTCATATTAAAACACAAAGCATCACTATTGCAATTTCCTAAAAGATGAGCAAAATATACTGATATTCATTTATATACTAATGAGGCAAATATACTGTTCACCATGGCTCAGTGACATTCACACCAGAAGTGTGGTCAATTTTCTCCATCACTGTAAAATTTGCTACAGGGATGAATCTAGAGCTCAGAAGGTGTGTAAAGTCAAAACCATAGTTGACTTTATACACACCTTTTTTTTTTCCCTGTTGGGATTCTATTTACAGCAGTGCACCCCAGAGGGAATTGCTTGAGTGGTGATCATGGTATGTGAGGAAGTTTACAATGTTAAGATACTAGCTTACTAGATGACTTTGTGAGTGTAGATGTATGCTCCCTCTAATGAATCAAAAATGTTAAACTCCATAGAGAGATCCACAGCCAGACATCACACTTAGAGACAGACAGCTTGGAACACACAATTCTAAAGGGGTGTCTCCATCAAATCCCACCCTTTAGGGCTCAGGGAACTCTGCAGAAGAAAAGAAAGCTTATAAGAGTCAGAGTGGATGGATGACACCAAGAAAACAAAGCCCTATAAATCAACAAAAACAACACTCATATGAACTCACAGAGAATAAAGCAGTTTACACAGGACGTGCACAGGTCTGCACCAGGTCTTCTGTGTGTATTATAGCTATTACATTATTTTTAAATATTAGTTACAATTTATTAACTTTATATCCCAGCTATAGACTGCTCCCTCATTCCCTCCTAATCCCACCCACCCTCTCTCATCTCCTCCCTGCCCCTTTCCAAGTCCACAGATAGAGGAGGTCTCCTCCCTTTCCATCTGACCTTAGCTTATTTGGTTTCTTCAGGACTGGTTGCAGTGTCCATCTCTGTGGCCTAGCAAGGCTGTTCCTCCCTCTGGGGTGGGGGGAGGCAGAGGTCCAACCATTGAGTTCTATCATAGCTTTTAGTTTAGTGTTTTTATGGGACCCCTGAATGTGTTGATGAGTGGGTCTCTGATTCTTGTGCCTCAGTTAATGTTTTTCAACTATATGTAAGTTGGAAGGCCAGCTGAGATGTAGAAAGAGTAAGCCAACTGTCATTGCAAAACGTGAACAAAAGATGAGTGTTCCTCTGTTTAAAATCTTTTAGTTTACATAATGAATAAAATCCAAATCATCTTTTGATAAGACAGACCTACATACCCACTTTTAGCATTTGCTAAATTTTCTTTCCTATAATTTCACAAT